ATAATATTCAATATTTATTATATATATTTATCATTTTATATGTAAAATATTGCGTTAATGTAATTTAAAAATATCATTTAAGTAAATATGATTAAAAAATAAGATTATTTACTTAAATATTTATATAATAAATTATTATATTGTTAGGTTATTTTAATAAATGATTTACTTTATTATTTATATAAAAGGAGATTAATTATATATTTATTTGTTCAATAATTTAGAAGAAGGAAAATTATTAATTATGTCATTATTGCTTACTTTATTATAGAATTTTAAATATAATATTTGATGTAGTACTTAATTATTAGTCTAATGCTTAATATAGTAGTTAATTATTAATTTAATGCATAATATAACGTTAAATGACTGATAAAATGCGTAACATTATGCTTAATTGAATGATATAATTCATAACGTGCTTAATATACTGGAATGCTCATGAACTGATACAACGTGTAGCATTGTTTGCTATAATGCTTCATAGACTGCTTAATGAATGACATATTACTCAAAATAACAATTAATATATTTTTTAATGATTAATAAAATATCTAAAAACAAATGAATTATAGATAAATAATCTTTAATTAATAAGAAATTAATTAACAATTCTTAGTAAAAAGAATAAATCACAATTAAGTAAAACCAGCAATAAATGTGCAATTCTCAAATCGTTGTCAAAGAAAAGCTTCCGTAGAAACGTGATTGGCATTTGAAATACAAAAATAAAAGGCGCATGCTCGCATGTTAGGCAACTTATGTTGTAGCAACTATCTGTTAGTCGGTACCCGAAGGAGGGAAGTATCAGTCGACTGTCGAGCATACAGCAAAGAGGTTGGATAGTCGAATGCTGGTCGATCGACACTTCACTAAACAATTCAACTTTTCCAAAGTATAACTGAAGATGAAAAAAAAATGTTAACAACGGTTAAACAATGACTTATTCATCAATGGATTCTAATTATTCTTTTAATCTAGTCGAACATGTTCAAGATGTTATACAAATTAATAGCACGAGACCTTTCGTTTTACCTTTGTGGCAGCAAGTAATATGGAGTTTTGTATTTGGCATAATGGTAACTGTGGCTGTGATAGGTAATACCATAATCATGTGGATTATAATTGCTCATCGTAGAATGAGGACTGTGACGAACTATTTTCTACTTAATTTATCAATAGCCGATTTTATGATGGCAACATTTAACGTTATATTTAATTTTGTATTTATGTTAGAAAGTCACTGGCCTTTCGGTTTAGCTTATTGTATTTTTAATGGTTTTGTTGCTAATGTTACGGTTTCTACATCCGTTTTTACTATGATGGTTATGAGCATTGACAGGTAAGTTTTTATGTGTATATATTTTTTAAATTATTTTTTAAAGCTAAATATATAGTACATGTATTTATAGTGTTAAGGATGTAGACTAGTACTTAAAACGGATATTGATAAATGGTTTTGATAAACATATTTGTTTCGTATATATTTATATTATTTATCATTTAATTCAGAAGTTCAATTTGGAGTATGTATGACCTAAAAGTCACACATACACTCATGTTTATATAAATATATGCATATAAAGCACTTAAAAGCAACTTCTACCGATTTTGTTTACGAAAAAATTTTTTTTCTGAAATTTTAACGTAAAAATTATTATTTGAAATATGATATAAATTACACAAGATATTTTCTTTGCATTTGAACAATTTTATTAATGAAAGTTAAGTTTAGCAACAGTGAAATTGCTACAAAAAACGAATTAATTTTAATTATTTTATAATTAATTTACTAAGAATAAAATATTATATTTTATTATTTCTTTATTAAAATAAAGAAGATAATTTTATAAGTTTGATGTATAAATATATAAAATTCTTATTTCTAAACATTTATTTATTTCGTTTTTTTAAATACAAAGTACTTTTTTTAATCGATATAAAAAAAATCTTAATCTTTGCAAAGGTCAAGGAAAATCTATACTTATGATACAATTAGCTATCTTATATTTATATAACTATATCATTTAAAATTTAATTATCTTTAAACCATTATAAATAATTTTATTTACTTAAAAACGAAGATTTTTAGAATAATCGTAAATTTATTATAAAAATTCAAATAAATTAATATATTTAAAAAAATTGTTTTTGATCAATGGTATTCGTGTTATTGAAATATGTCATATTATATAACGAGTACTAAATAATTTAAATATCGGTCGCTTTAGTATAAATTTTTACATTAAAAATATTTAAATAATTAATGTAGATATACATTAAAAATTTAGAATACTAAATATTTTTTTTCATTATTTAAATGGTTATCCTACAAAATTATTATATCGAAAACTAAGCATTTAATTCATTTAATTAAAGTGAAAACGTAAAATTTTATAAAATTTATTATTCTGTTAAATATCTTATAAATATAAATAAATTTTTAGCATTTTTATGAAAGATTTTGCTCGAAATTCATCATCAAAAATTGTCAAAATGTCTCAGCATAATTAATAAAAAGAATTGAGTAAAATCACTAAGACCTTAACCTCATAAACAAAATATTCAGTAAAATTATGAAATATATGTCTTCGTTAATAAAAATTTATGTAAAACCATCAATATTTTAGCTTCATTAACAAAAATTTGGCAAGGGATCTCGCTCGACTTTTCCAAAAGTCGAATATGAGGTTTAGGACATGAGGGTTTAAATCGAAAATTTTAAATTATACTAGGCTAATATTTAAGTAGTAAAATCTTTAAAAGGAGTAATTTTGTTGAAATATAATAAAAATCTCTTTAAAAAATATATTTAAGTTTAAAAAACACTACGACAGTAGCTCAAAGTTAAAATTGTGTATGGAGTCATATGTTATAAAATATTAAAAATAAATGTTATATTATTAATTATTATAAAAAGGCTTATTTTTGAGGATAGAGATTAGTTTCTAAAAATATTGCAAACGCCAATAACCAGTAAACTTTTCATTAAGTCCCTCCACACTCGAGATATGACACATCATCCCCCTGTCTCACATCACCTCTTCGGTTCTGTATGAACTCTAAAATTTAATAGCATCAATATTCCTTATATACAAGTTACTATGCCAAATTCCGTTTTTTAATCTTTATCCTATCCTGAGATATTAAACGGAATAGATACCAACACACGCGTTCACATTCACGACTGTTTTTTTGTTTTTTGAGTGAATGTGAGATGTGTAATTTTCGAAACTTTACGGTTCAGGGATCTCAAAAAGTCAAGATTTGCAAACCTCCCGGAGGGTCAATTTGACACAACCACAATATTTTTTCATGTTATGTTATAATAGCCAAAAAGTAAGAATCACGATAATCAAATTCTTCAGCCTCGTTAACGAAAATATCGAATAAAATCATCAATGTCTAAGCTTTATTAATAAAATTATCAAGTCAATTCATCAATGTCTTAGTTTCATAAACAAAAACAAAACTTAAATATTCAAAATTCTTTACAAAATTTTATAAATTTAAAGATCTATAAATTTTGTAAAGAATCCTTAAATAAAAGAAAAAATGGAATTCTTAAATAATTTTGACATATATCGGCTTATAACACTGATAATTTTTATCCTTTGTTATCAAGCATTCAAGCGAATAACAAAACAAACGGTGCTTTAAAACATTATTCTAAATTATTATTATACTACATATTCTACTACATCAAAAAAAAAGAAGGATGCCTTGTGGTAATTTACCGACTTCTGTGTTTCGAAAATTTGAGGGAAACTTTCTAATGCAATTATATTTATGAATGACAAATAAATATCCATTTATATAAAGGAANTCTAAAAATATTGCAAACGCCAATAACCAGTAAACTTTTCATTAAGTCCCTCCACACTCGAGATATGACACATCATCCCCCTGTCTCACATCACCTCTTCGGTTCTGTATGAACTCTAAAATTTAATAGCATCAATATTCCTTATATACAAGTTACTATGCCAAATTCCGTTTTTTAATCTTTATCCTATCCTGAGATATTAAACGGAATAGATACCAACACACGCGTTCACATTCACGACTGTTTTTTTGTTTTTTGAGTGAATGTGAGATGTGTAATTTTCGAAACTTTACGGTTCAGGGATCTCAAAAAGTCAAGATTTGCAAACCTCCCGGAGGGTCAATTTGACACAACCACAATATTTTTTCATGTTATGTTATAATAGCCAAAAAGTAAGAATCACGATAATCAAATTCTTCAGCCTCGTTAACGAAAATATCGAATAAAATCATCAATGTCTAAGCTTTATTAATAAAATTATCAAGTCAATTCATCAATGTCTTAGTTTCATAAACAAAAACAAAACTTAAATATTCAAAATTCTTTACAAAATTTTATAAATTTAAAGATCTATAAATTTTGTAAAGAATCCTTAAATAAAAGAAAAAATGGAATTCTTAAATAATTTTGACATATATCGGCTTATAACACTGATAATTTTTATCCTTTGTTATCAAGCATTCAAGCGAATAACAAAACAAACGGTGCTTTAAAACATTATTCTAAATTATTATTATACTACATATTCTACTACATCAAAAAAAAAGAAGGATGCCTTGTGGTAATTTACCGACTTCTGTGTTTCGAAAATTTGAGGGAAACTTTCTAATGCAATTATATTTATGAATGACAAATAAATATCCATTTATATAAAGGAATAGAAAAATATTTTTAGATAAATTTTATAAAAATTACGATTATCAATTTTAATATTATATAAATTATTCCTAATAACTATAATTTTTCATATTAATTTATATACATTTCCATATCTCAATTATTAAGTAACATAATTTCCGATTATTTTTAATGAATATAATAATATGAATTTTTTAAAAAATATATGTAAGAAGTGATTATTATTTTCTTAAATTTATTATACAGTAAATTTTTAAAATATATTTTTATATAATAAGTGCTTAAATTTTCTTTTCAATCATTAAAACAATTATAATTGAATAGATTAAATTTAAATTTTACTTTACATTATGCTATTTCACATTAAATAAAATTTACTGTGTTATTTCGTATGGTATATAGAGATACATTTTACATTTTAATACTTTTATGGGGTGCCTATATAATTTTTTTAAAATCATTTTTTAAACTAAAACACTCGTAGCATAAAAATTTAAGGTTCTATTAATGTATTTTATTATAATAAAAGTATTAAATATTATTTTATAATATAAAATGTGTAATATAATTTAATATCAGCTTTAGAAAATATCAAAATCTTGAACAAAATTGGTTTTCGCGTTGGATTTTTTTTGGTTGAGTAATTATACATACAATTTGACTACTTAAAAAATTATCTGCAGTTCAATTGCTGATTGGTTCTTAGATAAGAATAATTACTAAAAGGCGTGACTTTATTAATAAATAATTAGCTAAGGAGAAATTTGATCGATTGCAACACATTCCACTTCCATAAACACGCCTATTAGCTTACGTTATTTCAATTCCGACCAATGAGTAAAACGAATATATTTAATTTTCGAAGTATCTTAAGTGCTTATAAATTGGTGAAACCGAAAAATTTTACGAAAATTTTTATTTGAATTTATTAAATTTTCGGAGAAAAGTGAACATTTATTATAATTTAAACTTATATATGTAATAAACACCCGTTTATACGACATAATTGGCTTCTGGAAACAAGTCGTAAAGCGAGCCGTTTCATTTCTCATATCAATGCCATAATTGAAATTATATTTCTAGAAACACAACTTAAACTATGTAAAACCACGATAAAAATGTGATAATTTGTATCATCATAATAGAAAGTGTGTAATAGTGGTAAGAGTCGTGATTCTAAAGACAGCAGTCGTAAAGCGGGTCTGNTAATATAAAATGTGTAATATAATTTAATATCAGCTTTATAAAATATCAAAATCTTGAACAAAATTGGTTTTCGCGTTGGATTTTTTTTGGTTGAGTAATTATACATACAATTTGACTACTTAAAAAATTATCTGCAGTTCAATTGCTGATTGGTTCTTAGATAAGAATAATTACTAAAAGGCGTGACTTTATTAATAAATAATTAGCTAAGGAGAAATTTGATCGATTGCAACACATTCCACTTCCATAAACACGCCTATTAGCTTACGTTATTTCAATTCCGACCAATGAGTAAAACGAATATATTTAATTTTCGAAGTATCTTAAGTGCTTATAAATTGGTGAAACCGAAAAATTTTACGAAAATTTTTATTTGAATTTATTAAATTTTCGGAGAAAAGTGAACATTTATTATAATTTAAACTTATATATGTAATAAACACCCGTTTATACGACATAATTGGCTTCTGGAAACAAGTCGTAAAGCGAGCCGTTTCATTTCTCATATCAATGCCATAATTGAAATTATATTTCTAGAAACACAACTTAAACTATGTAAAACCACGATAAAAATGTGATAATTTGTATCATCATAATAGAAAATGTGTAATAGTGGTAAGAGTCGTGATTCTAAAGACAGCAGTCGTAAAGCGGGTCTGCTATATATATATATATTTTAATATAATTTAATTAACATTGTTTACTTTTTAAAATTTAATTCATAAAACTAACGATTATTTTAAGAAAGTTAGGTAAAGAAAAGGTTATTTAAGCGGAATATACGTTATTTTTGTAAAAAGGATGCTTAAACATTGAAATTTTAATGTCAAAATTGAAAATTAATTGACTATAATGTTAAAAACAGTAAACCAAACTGTAAAACCTTAATTAAATTTATAACATAAAAATATCTTCCGCAACGTCTTACAACTAAATGAAATTAAAGATAGTTGAGTTATTCAGGATGATTAAAGATTTATATAATGTATTAATTAGTAAAGAGAAAATTTCCATAAAAAACGCAAAAGAGTCTATTCTCTTATATAAATAATAGATTATATTAAAAACTATTCACTTAATTTCTTGACAGTTTTAAAACTATATATTTTTTTATACATTTAAATATATTTTTTTAAATTTCTCATTTAAAAATAACTAAAAATACTAATTTTTTCTATACTCCTCTTTAGCAAGGATAATTAATCTTACTTTATTTTCACTTCTCAACCTGTAGTGCTCGTACTCTCGGGAATTGCGATTTGTAATTGTAGAGGTAATTTTTTAAGCGTAGGTTGAGAGGTACTTTATTAGATCTATATATAACTTGAATTAATTAAAGTATTGAGCTATTTAATTGATTTTATCTGAAATAAATGAGCGTTTAGTTGTTTTTATTTAATTGGTTTTTAGTATTGTTTAAAAATATTTAGGTAAAATTATATCTAATAAATTACCAATCGATTAAAGTTCAAGTGACGTATTTAAAGAGCTTTTTTTTCTATTATTTCAAACAGTTTAAGTAGAAATATTCAAACAATATAAATCATTTATTTCTTTTAGAAGATTAAATATTTATTTTACTTTATAAATGTATTATAATTTTAGCTTAAACCATTTCAATAAAATGCAATTATTCGTTATAAAACTTAACACAAGTTTTATAAATTTAAAATCTTGAATAATTTATTTTTATATGTTTAACAAAATTTAATTAATTTTAAAGTAAATCAGTTTATAAATTTAATAAAATTAAAACCACAAATTAATTAGGTTTTAGTCAAATTGGTAGAAAGAAAACTTATACCCTCTTATTACTGTTGTTGGGGTTGTGCTTACTCAATAGTCTTGGCTGAAGGAAAAAAGAGAAGAGGGGATGAGAAAGAGGAGAAAAGAGTCCAGTAAGGTACTGAGCAGATCGGGTAAATTAGGAAAAAATGTCTTGTTTACAAGTCATTTTTTTTCCTAATGTCAATGTCTTGTAATCGTAAGATGTTCTTGATAACATCCTACGATTACAATGAAGTCTGTTGATAAATATATACAAAAATTATATAATATTATAGTTTTTAATATTCATAGTGTCTTGATTAAGAATTTAAGTATATTTAAATAATAATTCATTTAAAAAATCTTTTTTTATGAGTTTAACTTGCCCTCTGATAGCCATGACCTTTTGCATTCTAATGCCCGAAGCCATTGTGTAAATCTATTAAAGATTTGTTATTTAAAAAAAATATATTTTTACATGCTTATATTTTTCAAAATAACTTATTTAAAAATTGTATTTACTTAATAAATCAAAAAAAATTATTCTTTAAACAAAAATTCAAATATATTTTTTAAAATATCAGTGTTTATATTAATATTTAGCCTAATCCTTTGACAAGGAAAAATTCCAAAAATAAATAAAATGTTAATTTAATTTAATTATTTTTAAGATTGTAATTAAATGTTATTAACTTATAAAACTTGAAAAACAAAAAAAAATTCTAGGAAAATTCCCTTAAATTAATATAAGTTAACAGAGCAATAAACTTTCCTATATACTTGGCTACATTTCCCGATTTGATAGGGTAAACTTTGTATGTGTTTAATTTAGTTTAAATTTCAAAAATTTGTTTAAAAACTTTATAAAATAAATAAACATTCAATAACAAAGCTACCATTGTTCGTACTCTAAATGTTTACACTGTGTGATGCTATATTTTAATGAATATATACATACATTCAAGATAAAACTACATCTACCATTTGACCTGTTTCATGCTTGAACTTCATAACGTGTAGATAAACCTGTCTAGTAACTCTTGGAGTTCAAATGGGGAAAGTGCCAAAGGGATAAAATAATACAAAGATCCATTGCTGATTAATAATCAACTAATGAATTAATAAATTTACTTCCTAGTGTAGTAAGCAAATCTATGGCTTTATCAAAATTGTAGTACCTTTGGAAAGTGTTCGGCTTATTAAACTATTATTTCAAATAACATTCGATCATCATGACCTATAATTGATAAATATTTTGATGTTTTTTTTACAGATATATGGCGATAGTTCGGCCATTGACACCACGTATGTCTCGAAAAACTGTTTGTTTGATTATAATTACTATATGGTGTATGTCTACGATATTAGCATTACCTACATTATTATATTCAACTGTTGTGTCTTTCAAATATAAATTTGAAGAGAATAGGACTTTGTGTCTAATGTTATGGCCTGACGGACACATGGGAACATCGAAGAAAGAATATTGGTAAAACACTATTTATTTCTTTTTTATAAATTAAAGTTATATGAGTTGTTATATAGATTTTAATGTTTTATTCCATTTCACCCCAAGAAAGTGAGTAAAAAGAATTGTGTTTTGGTTATTTCAAACGGGAACAGGACCCACACGTATCAGATTGACATAAGTTCGTTTCTCATCTGAAACAAAACTCATATTTTCTGTAAGAAATTCGTAATTTAGATTCAAATAGAAATCAATGTCTTAGAAAGGAGCATGAGTTCAGCATTTTCATTTAAAACAAAATTCAAAACTTCTATAAGAAATTTGAAATTTACTTCATATAATAATCTAATACACGTGCTTTAGAAAGATATGGGTTCAGTTCCTAATTGGAAATACTCACATTGGCTGAAAAAAATAGAAATTTATTTCAAATAGCAACAGAACTCAAGTTTTTCGGTCTTTTGATTGATGATGAAATGCTTTTCAGGCTATACATTCATTAAAGTCCAGATTTTAGATGTTATTTATTTATTAAGTTTGATATTACANTTCTCTTAAAAAGACCTCCCGGAAAGCATCCCCCTAGGCAGATCCCCCCAAATGTTGCGTTGCCATAACTTAACAAACACTCCTGAACCACCTTAATGAAGCCTTAATGTTTTTTACACTAACCTTTGACATCAAGCCATTTTTTTATTTTAGTTGACATTCGAAACAGATCCACAATAAAAGGGAAAAGACTAAGATGATAATTATAAATGATGATGAAGATGAAAGAGAAGATAATTTAGTTACATGTTTCTTTGCAAGGATTATAATAATGTAATTAAACATAATTAATTAACTGAGCTATCAATTAAAACTACTTCGATTTTTTATGGAAAAAAGCAAGAAAAGTAATTAAATAATTAAACTTTAAAATTAAAAAAATCGAAAATAGCAGAGCGTGAAATCAATTTCTTTTGTTTTTAATTTAAATATTTAATTATTACAATAAAAATAAATTGTAAAATGTTTTAAGCAATTTAATTTAGAAAATTAATCGAATCAGTTAAAAATATAATGAATTAAGTAATTAAAAATAAGATATCGATGTAAATTAAGGACAAAAATATATAAATATTCGTATAAAAAATACGAAAAAATTAATATTTTATTCGTTTTGTAATTAATTATTTATTAGTGATGTTGAATAAAATAAAAATAATTTAAAAAATGATTTTACTTTTATGTAAAATACAAATTTTATCGTTTTAAACATTTGAATAATAGATAAATTGTAAATTTATCTAGTAGTTAAATCCTTCATAAAACGTAAAATATAAAGAGACTTTATGATAATCAGTACTTTTATGGTCAACGATATATCCACAGTGATTAAACGAATCTTTTAAGGCATAAAAAATTAGATTAAATTACAAAAATGCATACGATAAGATACTTTACACGAAATTTATATCCATGCTAAGATCATAAATACCTGTTGATTTATGATTTTTCGTTGTAGTATTGTATTTGAAAAAGAATACCGTAATACAACGTAATATTCAAAGTTCACGTTAGATAAAAAGAAAAAAAATTGTTGGAAAAAATTGAAAGTTTTCGTTGATATTTATAAATGAACGTAAAAGAAATTTCAAAATGTTATAATGTTATTGTTAATATGTTTATAAATATCTTTTATTTGAATATTTTAGCGTGTTTATAAGTATCTTCGCAGCATTGTAGTAAATGCGTTAATGAGCATAATCTTTCTTTGCTTATTGTAATGAATATTCTCATAAATATATTTCGTACGGAGTCAGGAATTCAAATAAAAAGACAAGAATTCAATTTTTCAGAAATTTTATAAACTTATAAACAAAAAAAAGCATCTTAATTCGAAAAGATGATGATAATATCGTCATGGATGATTACAAACTTTAAGCAAAATAACGAGTTTAGATAGATAAGAGAAACAATGGCATATTTTTGAAGGTCAAATTTCTTAATATTATGCTACTTGTTAAGTGAGTCGTGAAGGAACTACTACTAAAAAAATTCAATTTGTTTAAAATATACTCAATATAAAAGTTTTATTTGTGAAGTTTTTAGCTTTAAACGATATAATTAATTTTTCTTAATTTTTTTAATAAATTTTAATTATATTGTTGTTATATATTTAGGTACAACGTTGTGTTTCTCTTAGTAACTTATGTAATTCCAATGATTCTCATGGCTATTACTTACTCAAGAATGGGAAGTGTGTTATGGGGAAGTGCAAGAATTGGAGAGACGACTGATAGGCAAGAAACATTAATTAGATCAAAGCAAAAGGTAAATTTATACTCTTCTAAATAATATATGTATATTTATTTATTTATAGAATAACATTTAAAAAATTGTTTAAGTAAATTAAATCAAATTTTTAGTTTATTGATATTTAGGCTATTTAATTTTCTTTTTAGCATAAAAAGCGTTTTCTTTTTTATATAAATTGAGAGTTTTATTATGAATTTTTATTCTTCTTTAAACGTTCGAATTGAAATTTTATAAATGTATAATTAATTTGAAAAATAATTAATCGATTCTTATAAACTTTGAAGGATTTAATTTGATATTAAAACTTTGTCATTCATTTATTAAATTCGAATTATGTTTCGAAGTTTGTCTTTTTTCCTCCCTTCTATTCTAATTAAAACCATTACAAATTAATTCAACTGTTTGAAAGTTATATTTTAGCCTTTCTTGGAGAAAAATGATTAAATTAAAATATAAATGAGTAGATTTTATATTTAAAAAACAAAATTCTTTAAAATATAAAGAATTACCAATGAGAAAAATCAAGAAACACATTCTCGTATTTGATAAGAAAAGAAGCGTTTAATGCATCTTTATTGCTATAAAACTGCTTTTTTTTTTTGTAGTTGAATTTACTTTCATTATCCGTATCTATGCTGTTTTTAGCAACAAGTATTAAAGTTATGCATCACATTTATGAAGTAGCTGTTGCAATCACTTACTTACAGTGATGGATGAGATGACATTTCCAATTACTGGAAGAAAATACAATGAAATCCTAGTATCGAATACAGTTTTTAGAGTATTCACCCCAAAAATAATAATCATATTTATCATCCAATGACAAAATACCCGTCGTGTATAAAATAATTTAAATTCTATCCTATTCATTTTCGTTCGTTACTATATCGTAGGATGTCTGTTTTTAACGTGTCTTTAATCGGCATTGTTCAAAATAAATTATAAAGTTTAAATAATTTAACACGTTACTTAATTTTAAATAAAAGATGAATTTTCACTGCAATTACCATTTGTTTCTTTAAAAAAGGGGGTGTTTCTGTTTCTTTAACTCTTAACTTTCGTTACTGAATAATGTTTTCTATTTAAAATTCTAACTACAGTGGATGATGTTGAAATCAGTTGAAAGATTTCGAAAAATATAAACTATTCACGAATGAATTAAAATAATTTAAATTTTTGCAACATCTTTACCAAAGGACACTAATATCAAACTGAATCATAAACATAATTAATGCCTTGTGTAAATTAATGCCTTCACGTATCAATTAACATAATTATAATAGTACTAGGTAACTTAGAACTAAGTTTAAAATAAATTCTAATTAACTCAGAATTTATTATAGAATTTTTGAGAAAAATATATTAGGAAATATATTGATATAAATATATAACAATTAAATTTATGTTGGATTATATCTATATCGCACAATCTATCAACATTTTGCTTACAAAATATTTACAAAACTAAAGATCAAGTTTACATTTTATAAATATCCTTTAACTGTTTTTTTTTTGTTTAAAAAAATGTTCTAAAATTACATAAGTTAAAGAAAAAGCATTGAAAATATTTTCAATGTACAGTACCTGTATTTTCAATGCTTTTCTTTAACTTGAAAAAAATTGTTCTTGGTTAAGTTTAAAGACAAATATCTAAAAGATTGTTTGTCTGTAAGAAGATATTGAATATATTTTTTTTAATAATATTTATTTTACAAAATGTTACTACATACATCTAAAATAGTTATATTATTTTCATAAGAAACAATGTCATCTCTGTAATTTATGTCTATGTATTATGAAACCATAATTTACATTATGGCATTAATTCTTTCATAATTTTTATGTAATTTTTTATTTTGATTTATGTTTTTGTAATTATTTTATTAACCATGTCACAATTTGGTTCTTCTACATATATTCTTTTAAGAAATTTTCGTGCTTTCATCAACATGTAGCTAGAATGTAAATTCTTGTGGGCATATAAAATATACATTAAATAAAATAATATCCTATTTTTCGGATATTTTTACCTAATTTACGCAGAAATNCATTTCCAATTACTGGAAGAAAATACAATGAAATCCTAGTATCGAATACAGTTTTTAGAGTATTCACCCCAAAAATAATAATCATATTTATCATCCAATGACAAAATACCCGTCGTGTATAAAATAATTTAAATTCTATCCTATTCATTTTCGTTCGTTACTATATCGTAGGATGTCTGTTTTTAACGTGTCTTTAATCGGCATTGTTCAAAATAAATTATAAAGTTTAAATAATTTAACACGTTACTTAATTTTAAATAAAAGATGAATTTTCACTGCAATTACCATTTGTTTCTTTAAAAAAGGGGGTGTTTCTGTTACTTTAACTCTTAACTTTCGTTACTGAATAATGTTTTCTATTTAAAATTCTAACTACAGTGGATGATGTTGAAATCAGTTGAAAGATTTCGAAAAATATAAACTATTCACGAATGAATTAAAATAATTTAAATTTTTGCAACATCTTTACCAAAGGACACTAATATCAAACTGAATCATAAACATAATTAATGCCTTGTGTAAATTAATGCCTTCACGTATCAATTAACATAATTATAATAGTACTAGGTAACTTAGAACTAAATTTAAAATAAATTCTAATTAACTCAGAATTTATTATAGAATTTTTGAGAAAAATATATTAGGAAATATATTGATATAAATATATAACAATTAAATTTATGTTGGATTATATCTATATCGCACAATCTATCAACATTTTGCTTACAAAATATTTACAAAACTAAAGATCAAGTTTACATTTTATAAATATCCTTTAACTGTTTTTTTTTTGTTTAAAAAAATGTTCTAAAATTACATAAGTTAAAGAAAAAGCATTGAAAATATTTTCAATGTACAGTACCTGTATTTTCAATGCTTTTCTTTAACTTGAAAAAAATTGTTCTTGGTTAAGTTTAAAGACAAATATCTAAAAGATTGTTTGTCTGTAAGAAGATATTGAATATATTTTTTTTAATAATATTTATTTTACAAAATGTTACTACATACATCTAAAATAGTTATATTATTTTCATAAGAAACAATGTCATCTCTGTAATTTATGTCTATGTATTATGAAACCATAATTTACATTATGGCATTAATTCTTTCATAATTTTTATGTAATTTTTTATTTTGATTTATGTTTTTGTAATTATTTTATTAACCATGTCACAATTTGGTTCTTCTACATATATTCTTTTAAGAAATTTTCGTGCTTTCATCAACATGTAGCTAGAATGTAAATTCTTGTGGGCATATAAAATATACATTAAATAAAATAATATCCTATTTTTCGGATATTTTTACCTAATTTACGCAGAAATAAATTTGTACTTTAATTACTAAAAATAATTTTAAATTTTATACAGATATATAAAAATAATAAATTATATTTTCTGAACTTTCAAAAATTAAACTAGATATATGGCAAGTAATTCCAATAATTAATAATTATTTTATTTTTTTATTTTTATTTTTATTACAGTATTGTATTTTTTGTTAAAGATAAAGGCATGTGTCTATGAACATTAATATATTATAAAAATAATAATTAAATATAGAAAACATGCATAAAAATATAACTATACAAAGTAATATTATATTTAAAACTAACATTGTTTTATAATAAAATTTTATTGAATTGGGAATTGTCAATAAACAGTCAACTTATTATTATTATTATTATAAAAACAATGTTTTATTTTTTTCAAAAACATTGTTTTTATATTTATGAATAATAGTACCTGTACAGAAGTAAAATATATTTTGACCACTTTAGAAAAAATAATTATTATTTATATGACATCAATTATAATAAAGTACAATAAAATTTAAATAAAATAAAATAAAATAAAATGATTGGATAAATCATTTAATTCTTGTTTATAAACGGCTATGTTTTCTTTAATTTTGAGTTATCTTCATTTTTATATTTTCGTATAAATTATTATAAAAATAAATTTTATCTCTACCGTAAACAGTTAGATACGTATTTTATTATTCAATATGTTAAATTTCTCAAGAATTCTCGATAATTCTTAAGAAAATCGTTTCGAAATTTCTTTTCTTTAGAAAATAGAAACAATAGCGAAGAGCTTCTGTTTCGAATTGTACCTCTGTAATGTGATTTTTTTTATCGTTTTTCTTACCACTATTTATTTACTTTTTATTTAATATTACTTTTTCAATTTATTCTCGTCATCGTTATATTTTCTTTTTCTACAAATCTCTTTTATTCTCTTAGTCTTTATGTAACAAAATAATTCCGTACTATATGTGTTACATCCAAAGAAAAATTAATTTTGTTAACAAGTTAACTACACTTTCGAATTGCGCTCTACCATATTCACTACTTACTTTCTATTCCAAAACTACATTTTCCTTCCATTAAGTGATAGTCGTGAATCTACTGCCATTAGCTTAGAAAACATCTTGATAGCTTTCATAGTGGTAATGACTATACAAAAGAACTCTTGACTCAATCATTTATAAATATAAACCCGGAGAATTGATATTGCAATACTAGAAAGTCGATGAAAAAGAATATTGTACTTCATTGTTTTTATCTGTAAGCTATAAAATATAAACATTTTGAACAAAGATGCAGCAATTCTTAACCTACCAATTTATCAAATTGAAGCATTCTTTATAAAGGAGTAGTATCATAGGTAGCCTCAAGTTGCTCACCCCCTGCTTAGATCTGCAATGAAGCCAAGTCAGCCCTCTACTGAAGCTTAATAATTTTCCATAATGAAATTTATCGGTTGGACAAACTACAAGTTACTACAGCACTTAAAAAATTAACTGTTACCTCATCTCTAATTGGTTAAATTTGAAAAGCTACGTACTGTTAATTATGTTATGATTGAAAAGACTTTGACAGTTATACACGATTCAAATCCTCGACAATTTAATTGGTTCAACGTGATAACTACGTATCGCTACGTATATTCGCTTTTAGTCAAT